GGGTTGGGGGGTGTGGTGGTAGTGTAGTAGGCTTGGGCATGATATGGGAGAGGTGTAGGCATGGGACGTGGGCCTAATAGGCCCGGGTTTTGGTTTGGGTAAGGTGAGTTCCAGGTGTTGGATCCGTCGGGATAGGTCCGTTGCCTCGAGCTGCTTTGTCGTCCACGACCTCTACCCCGAGCACCGTTGCCTCGCCCGCCGCCGCGTCCATAGCCGTTGCGCTGTCCGGAGGAGCCGCCCTCACCGTAGCTGCCGCCGTGCTGGAGCCTGCCGCCATGGAAACCACCGCTTTCGTTGCTGCTGTGCTGGGGTCCCCCCGCTGCCGCCGCTGGACGGCTGCCGACCACCACTGTTGACGCCGGGCCTGCCGGCAAGGAGGGCCGTGCTACTCAAGTCGGCCATGGGGTTGCGTTGTCGGTCCAAAAGCATGAGAGCCGAGCGGGCTTGTAGAAAAGTGGGCAGCGGATCCTGAAATTGAAGAAAAGATGTCTGGGCTTGCAAATCATCGGGGAGACCACGGAGCATCTGAAGAACCAATTGATGTTGGGACACCGGGGCATCCACATCGTCTAGCCAGTCTGCAAGATTTTGCAGATGTTGACAGTAGGCCGCCATAGAAGTGTTGCCTTTGACAGGGGTACGGAACTCGTACTCGAGTTGCATGGCACGAGCATTCTTGTTGTCGTGAAAAAGATCATGGATAACTTTCCAAAGAGCAGAAGCGGTGGAGACAGATGAGATAACCAGATCCGAGACTTCGTCGGAGATGGTGGATAAGATCCACCCCTAGAGGAGAGCGTCAAGTTGGAGCCACTCATCGTCGTCTTTGGAGAGAGGGACGATGGAGCCATTGATGTAGCCTTGGAGATTGAATCGGCGAACCAAGAGGAGGAAAAGGCGACTCCACTTTTTATAGTTCGGTTGAGAGAGACTGAGAAGAACCGGAACGTGGAGTTTGACATTAGAGACCTTCGTGAAAGCAAGATGAGGGGTTTTCGCCGGAGTGGAGTTGGAGGTAACCTCGCTTTCGGCCATTGAAGAGAGGAGAGAGAGCCAAAGGGAGAGGGGGAGGGAGTGCCGCCACTGGGACTGCCGACGTTGAAGGAGGGGCGGCGGGGCGGCGCTGAGGCTGCCGTAGGAGAGAGGGAGAGCCGAGAGGTAGGGTTAGGGTTTTTTTTGTTTTAATTAGGCTCTGATACCATGAAGAATTATTATTTTCATTGATTGAATGAGTTGTGATTACATGAATATATATAGGGGGAGTCTCAATCCTAAATAAGTAGAAGAGACACAAGTAAGAAAACTTATACAAATAAGGTAAGAGAATAATACAATATATTAAATATATACAATATATTTAACAATTATTATTATTATTATTATTATTATTATTAATGGATACCTAACCCACTTTATGGAAAATATATATTTTCTTATAATGTAAATTTAGTAAAATTAGGTTTATTCTAAAATATAATTTTTAAACATCAATATTTATAATATTTAATTATTTTAAATTATACTACCTCCGTCCCAGTGTCTTTGTCCACTTTTGACTTTTGGAACTGTTCATCTAAGCACTTTGACTCATCAAATTCTCTCAATATGTAAGCCTAAATATAGTCATGTGTGATCTTGTTTGATTTGTTTTAACATATAGATTATTAATATATAATTTTTATAATTTTTTAATATACAAATTACAAGATAAAATGGATTAAAGAAGTGCATTGGATGGTGTGCCAAAATGTAAGTGGACAAAGACAGTGTAACGGAGAGAGTATCTAATTTGTTATCAAAGGGTACCACAATTTGGCGAAAAAAATAAAACTCTGTCAATATTTTAGAATTGGAATAAAAAATATAGTACTAGAGGCTTGTTCGTTTTGATTTTAGTTTTGATTTTAGGTCATTTATGCCCATACGCCGTCTATTCTATGTCACTTAATTCATTTCTTCTTTGTGTTATCCCATACGCAACTTGGCGACCGTTTGTGCGTGCACGGCCATTGGTTTCTCCCTTCCAAAACATATCTAGCCTTAGTGAATCAGTCTTTGGGGAGTTTCTTCGACTCTGTGTTCTTAAGGTCGAGCCTCTAATTGATTTTAATCTATACATTTCGCATCCAATTGAATCTATTAGCAAAGCTTATTGTTACTCTTAGTTGTTTGCGTTCTCAAAGGTTCTATATTTTTATCTTTGTTTTACGAAACAATCCCCAATTTTGATTTGCTTGATTATATTCTCATAACACTCTTTTTCCTTTCTTTAATTTTTCTTTATGCAGGAGCTTGGTGTAATTCAGCTTTAATCTAATTGTGCCAGGTACCACGATATGAAATTTAAAATTTGTGTAATGAAAATTATGTCTGTAACATTTGTATTGATATAAGTTTAGACTGTCTGTTACAAGAGAGTGACATAGAAAAGGAAACCAAATCCCCAAAGTTTAGACTATCTGTAAGTTTATCCTATTCTTGTTATTGTAGGAATAGAATTATGGTAGAAATAGAAGTTTATTTATTTGCTTTACTCTCTTCCTATATATATGGTTAGGCCTCTAATATCATAAGACAATTTATTAAATAGAATATTTTCTCTCTTATTGTTTTCTACACTATCAATTCATGTTTTTGTTATTGTACTTGTAGTTTGCTAAGTTGTGGTAAGACATGGTTTTGTATATCTTTGGCCTAACAGTGATTTGAAGTCATTTTGAGTAGACCTTGACTGCTGTTAGATTTTTTTTTCAAACTCTATCAAGATACATATACCCTTTAGCCATGAAATTAGTTTGTTTATCTACTTTACAGTGGAGTCTACTACATCTCGAATATAGTGCAAACCTTATCAATACTTCAAAGGACAAAAGATCCATGAATGACTCCAAGAATCAATTTCATTAACTTATTGTTGTGTGAGAGGGTGGACAACAAAGGGCGAACCCATATAATGAGGTCTGTTGGTGTATCTACTCAATTGATTTTGTATTTCACTGGGGTATGGTCTTTTAAGGACCTGGAAATACTCAGAAAAGTGTTTGAATGGTGTGAAAAATATGAGAAAAAAGTAAAAGATACATGTACTCCAACTTAATAATTTTCAATCAAATGTTTTCCAAATTGTACTTTTAGATGGTTGTGATAATAAGTGCATTGGGCATAAAACATTTCCTCCATGTTTGCACAGAATATTAGTGTTAATTAGCTTTATACAATAATAGAATGTCACCTACAATAGATAGCTTGCCATGATCATTTAAAAGCAACAAACTGACTATTTTAGTTTAACTTTTTAAAATGGCCATATACTTATTTAATTGAAAAATAAATAGGCGTTAGGTGCCAAGATTTATGTTGTGTTCATTTGACCCAAAGACCTCTGTTGTGTACATTAATGGAGAACTCCAGGAGTGACGAAGTATTGTCAATATAATGGAGAATCATCATCAAATACATGACTTGGTAACCTCAAGACATGCACCTGCACATGCTTGATTTGAAAATAGTTTCCTTTTTTAAATTAAACCAAATGTCAATTTCTTAAACTCTTAATTCAGCACAAGAGCTTAGTATCTTTTCTTTGTCCATTTTCTTTGTGTGTGTGTGTGTGCGCGCGTGTGTGTATGGGTCTTTTTGACTTTGCTTGTAGTTAACAAAACATTATGAAAAATAAGCTTTTCCATTTCAAATCTCTGGCTCCTCTTTTCTCGTATTAATTGTTATTGCCTTCATCACATTTTCTTGATTCTTTCATCAATCCCAGATTTATTCTAGCTCAAATAAAAAACACAAAGAAGATGGGATCTAGGATCCACTTCAAGTTGTGATTCCGTATTTTCGTTGTAGCAAAAGCATAAGCAAACCACATTGTATTTATAAACCATAATGAATTAATGATTGCATTGCCTCACAGGTTGAGACCATTAAGGTTGTTGAGAGGTTAAAGTTAGGTATGCATTTCAGACTTATTCTTAACATAAAAAACCTCTCCTACTATTTCATTTTACTATAGTAAGTGTGTTGTTTCCACTCACAATTTTCTATTAAATATATTTTGGTGCTGTTATGCATACGGTGTTATCATTATCTCTGGTTTCCTATTTGTTCACGATGACAAACACTTCATAGAAATGTAACGTGTTGTGTCATATGCACCTACCACTCTTCATCAAAAGCCAGTCAATGTTTCCTCATTACGTAATAATGCATACCATAAATTGAAGAGTGATAATTTATTTTTATCACATGTCTCTTTCTTTGTAAAAAGGTATCACTTGTTGGAGAAAGTTCTTAGCTAAACATTTAGAAGAAGAGCTCTATATCCCATGGTTTTGAGCTTTGTGATTGCAACCCTGCCTCCTATTTATGGGATGGAGTTTTCAAGATTTTTTGTGTAGGGAAAATTTCTAGATTCTTCTCACAGGCATGATGCTCCATCTTGCAATTCTATGGTGAATTTTCTTCCCCTCCACCCCTAACATTTGACATGGTAGAGAGGAAAAAGTTTGTCAATATCTTTGCATGTTCTTAGATGCTGCATAGGCAATCTAAGTGATTTCTATAAACTGGAGCTACATTAAATGTGGCTTACTTTGAGTTATGTTCAGATGTTCATTTTATTGTGATTTTTAGTTATTATTTGAAAAGTTGAAAGTAGTGTTCCTTATTTATTGTGATTTTAGGGAAAATAAAGAAAGTGAAGGTATGTAAATGTGTTTGTTTTTTACCCGCAGGTTGCTACGACATTTGATGAAAAACTTGAAACTTGTGAAACGACATACTCCGTATATTATTCAGTTGCTATTTGCTAAGCTCAGCTGACAGTAAAGAGATATTACTTTCTTCTTTCATAAACCGAACCTCTTTGACGGTCTTTATTTTATTTGGTCAATAAGAAAAAAACAAATCGCAGTGTCCTACATGTACTAGATGTATTTCATTTCTTTTCCCGTGTTCCTCGAAAAACCGATTGGAAATTTTCTCACGATACTCTTTGAGTGGGGATTAATACAATTTTTATATATTTATAATTAAGAGTGAATTTTCAAAACGGTGTCTTCTACTAAGGTGTTTTTCTAAATTACTCTTCAATAAGCAATAATTACCAACATGATTCATTTGCCAAAAATGTATATTAAATGCTATTCAAATAAAGGGTATTTTGGTATTTTCCATCATCTAGACGTAAAGTATGTTCTTGAAATACTCCTTTATAATTAAATATTTTTTCAAATTAATAATTGGATCATGCTACATTTACACCAAAAATTATACTCCATTTGTACACTGCAGTTATACACAAACATTTTGATGGTTTACACCGACACAAATGTTGGTGCGTTAACAAAAATTTACACGGACATAAAGTGTTGGTGCGTTAATAAAAATTAGTTTTACACCAACACAAAATGTCAGAGCAAAACTGCGAGGTACAAAGTGTGGTACAAAAGATGGGGTACAAGTAGCTTTATCCTTAATAATTTCTAAATGAATGTTTTTCCAAAATGGAGTCCATGAGCCTACTCGGGATGATCCGTTTTTTAAGTAGCCACTAATTTAATTTGAAAGGACCATTTTGAGGATTTATTTATAGTTTAAATGATGGAAAATATAAAAATATTCTCCATTTAACTGTCATTTAATAGGAATTTTTACGGGGGACTATTTAGAGAATACATCTCAATTACAAAGGATCATATTGGTAAATATTGCTTATTGAGGTTTATTTTGAAAAAATACCTTATTAAAAAGGACTGTTTTGAGAATTTATTCTATAGTTAAGTACTCATGATGATTCCTTTAATATGAAGTGCTTGTTTTCCCCTCCTATTTTTTCATCAGTTTGTGTCTAATGTGGATTGGCCTGTAACTTTGTAAGATATAGTAAATAATTCCTCCTCCCGAAATGTTGAAAGGGCGCTTTGGCCTTATGTTCAGACAATTCAAAAGGTAACGACAGGACTTAGAGACATAACATGATTCACAATGTAAAGGCTCTGAAAACTGAAAACCTAAGGAAGACAAAATAGATTTGGCAATCGCAGGAGCTGGATGACCGAGTCTACGATGCCAAGTGGACTCTTGGATAGCTTGATACGCAACGGTTGGGAGTTTGGAAGGAAGTGTGTATAACCCATGCTCACAGAGGCCCTTGTACCGCATCTAGTTGGTAAGATTGTCCACTATCTGGAAATCGTTGGCATTGAAAACAAGAGTGCAGTTGTTATCTTTGGTAAATCGATGGACAGACAATAGATTGGAGGTAAGGGAAGGGACATAATGAAGAGTAGAAAGGTGGTATTTACCATTAGGAGTATGGACAAAACCTGAGCCAGAGTGTGTGATGGGTAGGGATTGACCATTGCCTA